CACTTCTCTTGGACATTTCATCAAGCATAATGCATGCATACTCAAATTCTATTTTAGCTATACTTCTACTTCTTTCTCAAACCACCAATATTTAGAGTAAAACTCCCTTAAAACAATATTAAACCTGGCCAGGAAAACACTCCATAAATTCTACTCAAACTCTTTCTAAATTCAACCAAACTTCCAAGAATCACCATGCAACAAACTCCACTTCTCATGGCTAAAATATACTCATCCACAACCATCAATCTTATCAACAATTCTCAAAATGATAAACATACACATACATACATATAAAAATTCTTTACTCACTTGGTGTCTCAAATCATAGCTTGAGTTGGATTTACTTACCTTGAACTTGAATAACTTCACTAGAATCTCTCTCTCCTTGATAGACTTCCACTTTCTCCAAAATCCTTGGGATGCTTAGGAATGAATCTCTACCAAAATCCAACCAAAAGCCCTCTAATTTTTCCTTGGAAATTTGATGAAGAGATTGAGAGAATTGAGAATGAAAGTGGCGTGTGAGGTGTAGAGAATGGTAGGGTTTGTGTGCTTGAACCCTTAATATCTTATATTAATATTCATACTTTCCCATTTTGCCCTTGCACTTTCTTGGAAATTCCATCTTTGTCCTTTAGTTAATTACAAAAATGCCCTCATCACCATTACATTCTCCATAAAATTTTCTTACTTTTCACTCCCCACATTTTCAACTAATTAGGGGTAGAATGGTCATTTCTCCCTTAAGGAAATTTCTCTAGAATTTTCTCAAGAATTCTAGCCAGCTCTTTGCCCCAGCAAAGCTTTTTCTTTGCCTCGGCAAAAAATTCTAGAGCATACGTCACCACTACAAACTTTCTTCTTTGCCGCGGCGAAGTCTGCAATTCCCAACTTCACCAATTCTCCACCTTGAAACAAGCAAAACTATGGGCAAACAAGCAACACGAAGAGCATATAAGCTTAATTAAGGGCGGACAAGCATGAATAAGTTACGTACCTCAATGTGGGCATTACACCATTCCTTAGCGCTATCTGCTAAAGAAAATGGGAACACCCTTAACTTCACTTGTTCCTCCATTGTTTCGTTTGGTTTCATACTCGAGCATACCACATGGAACTCCTTAAGGTGCTTGTTTAGATCCTCTCCTGCTGACCTCTGAAAGTTGATTAAAGATGAATCATCCCAAATCTAAGCTTAAAAGCTCCCCCTATCGTATCATTGTACCAAATGCATAAAGGTTGTTAGTCAAGGGTTGGTACAGCCATCTCTTTGAGAGTTATATTAGACATCTCCTCTTGATCAGAAAAATCTGAAGACATTGAAAAATCTGAAGAATCACTTGTAGGTGGAAGATCAGTATGGATTGCTTGATCGAGAGTTAACCTATGCAAAGGTTGTCGTGAATGAGTAATAGGTGGAATTAGATTAGAATGCGAATTCGATCTCAAATTGAATTGTGAGCTAATTCACCAAAAACACCTACAACTCAAAAACAAAGAAAAAATAAAAAAATTGAAAATTAAACAAAAATAAAATAAATAATTAAGTTAATAAAAATCCCTGGCAACCACGCCAAAAACTGATGCGTGCAAATGCAATACTTAATTTTACCTCACTAAATTCTAACGCAAAGTCGTGTACCAGCAAAGAGCAAGTGAGGACTTTCCCATAAAGGATTTGTGAACTTAACTAATTATCTACTTCTAACGATGGTTTGTCAACTAAATAAAAACTAACAAACTAAAATTAAACAAAGTAAAACAAGCAAACAATTATGAAAGAGATAAATAAGAGAAACTAGATTGAAGGTTTATTGGCCACCACTAGACATGAATTACATATAATAAAAGCACTCTTTAACTTTCTACCCTCTTGATCACATCAGCTCAAAAAATACCAAACATTGATAAGTCCTATCTCTCATTACTAAGTCGTTGGACTAGACACAGTTATAACCCAATTCCCCATTTATTAAATAACCTAGGATTCGATCTCTAGATTCAAAGTAATAAAACCATTAAGTTGTGAGTGACTTACTAAATCAAGGCTAAACTCATATGATCAGTTTAGTTATCTTGAGTGGTTACCCCCCATGTATGCAGTCATACACTTTACCAATAGTTATTTAGGATAACAAAGCAATTTCGTACTAAACAACCTAAATTGGCATTAATAAATTAATCCTAACTATTTAATTGGCCACTTGAAAAATTAGAACAATCTAGTTAAACCCTATTCTTAGAGAATAAGTCACATAATCAAAAGGGATCAAAAGATAAAAAGATGCAGATTTTATTAATCACAAGACATGTCTAGGGATTTAAAATCACCCTAAATCACCAAAGAATTAGTTCTTCATTGATAAATATGAGAACATCATTGTATTATTCATAAAAATAATAATAAAAAAGAAGAAGAAAGACTTAGTAAAACTTGGTTGGATTGATGGAGTTGATGACGATCTCCTCCAATTCTTTTTCTCCAAGCTTTCTTTAATCTCCCTTTTCCTTGAGTTCTTGAATATCTTTGTTCTCCCTTTATGATCCCTAAAGAATCCCTAAAATTATACTAAAAGACTTGTATTTATATCTAAAAAGGGTTAGGGTTTTATTTTCCTTAATTCTATTTAGTTTAGGACTCTTAAACCTTATTTTCCTAGTCAAAAACAGAAGAAAGATTTCCAACTGTCATGACTGTGCCTCAGCACTATGCTGTGGCATGTTTGATTATGGACTAAGTGTGCTACGGCATGGTTGATTTTGGACTAAGTGTGCTATGGCATAGACCAATTCCTCTTCTAACCTTGCATCATTCTTAAGCACTCCAAAGATGGTACTTGTTTAGCATGATAACAATCGAATATGGAAAAGTGGTAAACACATAGAATGTAACCCTTTAAATAAACTTTCCAACGATTCAAGAATCATCTCAATATGATATCTACAGCTCAAGTTATTGTTGAATCACTGATGCATGTCCAAAACTAGAGAGTTTTCCAGGATTTTCACTTCAACTTCAAATCGTCATAACTTCTTCAATTCAACTCTAATTCTTAATCCATTTGTTTCCAACCATCACAAATTCTGTTGCCAGAATCATCTATCATCCGAATAATGTATTTAGACAATAATTCCCTGAAAACAAAACAAAAACACATGTGATCCCAAAAAGTGTATTAATGAAACAATTAAGTTAATTCATGCAAATTAATCCCAATGTCCCACAAATACTCCCAAGAAACCACTAAGTATAAGTGAATTTTCAAGCACTTATCAACTATAGTAGCATTTTTAAAGTGTTACAATAGACCTAATAATATAGTAGCTTTTTTATAATGTTACCGTATAATCAAAATATAGTAATATTTTATAAATGTTACCATAAACCCAATTATTTACGGGGAAACAAAATATCATTCCCGCCAACGTGAAATGAGATTGAAATTGTCTCATTTTGATTGTTTAGGGGCCAAATTTATATTATTTTGGGTTTATTTTGTCATTTTTCATTCATGTAAGGACCAAATTGAAATTTTTTACTTAACCTGGAAAATAACCCTAATACCTGCCAACCTAAAATTTCACAAAATTTCCCAAAATTTCATAATACCCTCATTCACATTTTTTTCAACTCTTCCAGCCTACCCTCTCAAACAAAAAAGCCTAATGGATTCACTTAATCGTCTTCATTCGTAAAAATCTATTGAAAATCGTTGGCTTCATCCAATCTTTAGCTTGAAATCTCCAATACCCATAACCTATCAAACCCTAAATCAAAGCCCCTAGCCTTTGAGAGGTAAATCAGTGAAGCATTTTTCCTAATTGGTGAAACACTTGTTCACTTTTTTTATTTTATTTTATTTTATTTTATTTTTTTTTGTGTTTTGCTTTTTTGTTGGTTTTTGACCTTCACCGTTATGGTTATTACTTTTGCATGGAATTTTATGCAGTTCAATTGTTGGGCCTTTTCCAATTGTTGTTACCAATTTGTTGGAGTTAACAAGACTGTAAGTTTTTCCTATTCCATTTTGATTTGTTTAAGTTTTTTCTTATGAATGAGCTCTAGAGTGTGTCACATTTAATTTATGTGTCTTTAAGGTGTGTTCACAATGTGGTTATGAAATGTTTAAATGAGTTGATAAGAAATGTTTACATTAGTTGTTTGTTTAGTTTGATAGGTGGTGATGGGAGTTTGGTTAATATTTTTGAAAGACAGTGATATTCGATTAGTGGAAGAGGCGCATGTACTTAAGTTGGAGAAAGCTCAAAAGAGAAATTTTGTAAAATTACTGGCATTGAAAGTATAACTCCAGGTGGTATAATGATTTCTCCCAATTTGTACTCTATAGTAGTAATTCTAGTAAACAAAGACGCTAGTGGATATAACCTTAGTGGCCATGAAGAATTTTGTGTAATTGCAGAAAACAAATTTTCCGGGGAATTATTTTATATAATCATTGTTAATGAAGATCATTTATTTTAAAAAAAAAAAAACTTACTTCTTTCAAGTAGTTCAACTCTTCAAATCGCGATTCTTTATCCCCAAAAACTTGTAAAACCTCTTCTCTTGCAATTTCTTGCCAATTTTGATGCATACATAACAAAATCATTGTCCATACAATCAAAGTTGTAGTAGTCTCTTGGCTGGCAAGATAAAAAAGTTTGCACTCCTCAATCACCTCTTCAAGNAGAACTTGTAATCCTTTTTCTGGAAAGTAAATTGAGAGCTACATATTTTTGAGTTTGTTTAGTGTTGATGCCACACTACTGCGTAGCCCATAATTGTTCATGACTTCGAAAGGGGTACATGGAAAACCTTGTCAAAGCAATAATACTAAAATTTTACTCTTTTATGAAGAAGAATTAATATTACAAAAGAGTTTACGTTTGCTTGATGTGAATCTCTAAGGTTTTATCTGTTGCATATTTCAATAATTGTTTCCTGGTATGTTCATGTTTTGATAGACACCATTCTTTTTTTGTTAATCATCTATTTCAGGGTTCTTGTTGGAACTGGGCGCGCATGTTTTGAGACATTAAGGCCACTGGCTTATAGTCTACTGGCAGAGATTGTTCACCATGTTCGGGGAGACCTCACGTTATCACAGGTGTTGCTTTTATGAGATGTTTGAAGGATAATTGTGGGCTTCTGTTTTCATCTCTCAGATGGCATTTATTCTGTTTTCCTATTATTTTATAACTGAGGCATCAATTTCAACCAAATGGTAGTGTTGTTGGGTGTTTATTTTCATTTGATGCCTTCAAATGAATTTTGGACTATTGTCATTATTAATGTCATTGGCGTGTGTGGTTGTTTTGGCCTTGGTTTAATTTTCTTTTTGATGTGATGCGGTCATCATAAATCTCTTTTAAAACATGTGAATTCAGGTTCCTATTATGGTAAACATGGCTCTCTCTTAATTTTGTTCCTCCAAATCCATTCACTGCTCCTTCCACGCAACCCCTCTGTTTTACATTTTAAAGAAAGAATTGCTTTGATTACATGGTATAGGGCTAAATTGCCTGTTCCATAATCTAGATAATAATCAGCTGGTGCTATGTGGTTACTCATATAGCATCTTCATATTTGATGGTGCATCTTTCTTGTTTCTAATTGATCTTCATCAATTAAGAATCCGTTTTTGATTCCTGATATATTGACAGACAATATTAATTTTTGTTGAAAAGTAAATGATTTTATACTGTTAAATAAACTTTGATGAATATAATGGTCTTTTCTTTTCAAAGAAAATATAAACTTTAATGCTGGCATAATACATGTTTGTGGCCCAAACCTCCAATTTAATTTAGTTAGAGAATAAAGATGTGTGATGAGTCTATGATGAATGCAGTTTTGGTCTTTTATCCTGCAATTTGATTTTTGTCATGTTTAAAGATTTAAAATTCCTTTTCTTTTACTCATTAAAACAAAAAGATATATAAAGTAAAATCTCTAGAAGACTTTGAATTTGATCCAAAACACTAGGACTGTTAAGTTCAATTTTCCTTTTGAGTGATGTTGCATTCTAAACAGTAGAGATGGGTGTTGAGGTAGTCAATTTTTTGAATCTGGATCTATGTCATGATGATGTGCCATTTCCTGCCACCTATTTTGTCTTATGTATTCTTGCTTTTTGTCCCTGTCCTATATTTTGCAAGCATTTGATTGGTGAGTTTTTCACAACTCATTTCGATCAGTTGCTGGCTTGCTGCCAAATGTTTTATCTATAGAATTGTCTTCTTTACAATGCTAACAAAAATGTATTATTGTGCTGCAGCTATCGCGGATAATTTATCTGTTCTCAAGTAACATGCATGATGCTTCATTGTCACTAAGTATTCATACTACTTGTGCTCGGCTGATGTTGAATCTGGTGCATGAAAAACTCTATTCCTTATATACTTCACTGCCTTATATAAGCTTAATAGTTTTATGTTGTATTGTTCTTTTTAGACATAAAATTCATGCAATGTGTTCTTTGGGACGTAGGTTGAGCCAATTTTTGAGAAAGGCATTGACCAGCATTCCATGGATGAAGCACGGATTCTATTGGTATGAGTTTCAGTCGGATTATTCTGTGAGATAACTTTTGATTCGTAAATTTTGTGAATTGTTGTCGCTTGTTTCTTGGAGTGACATATATTTTTCTCTAGGGTCGCATTTTGGATGCTTTTGTCGGGAAATTTAGTACTTTCAAGCGTACCATTCCTCAGGTACTCTGTGATTGCTATATAAGATTCTACTTGCTACTGTGATTCTCGCTATAAATTTTTGCTTAGATCTGCTGAATTGCTTGACCTTATTTCTTTTCTAACAGAACTTACCTTTGGTCAGTTCCTGAACTCTGATAGTTAATGTTTTGTTTTCACAGCACTTGGCTTATGGGATTTACAAGTTAAATTAGCCTAAGTGCCAACATTTTACATGCTTTAAGCAGTTAAAGGGAATTTTCTTTTTGGGGTTGACGTGTCATGCTTTATGGAGCTCATGTGTAGTTTGTGTTGTTAGATTAGATAAATATGACAATCTTTTTGGGGTTTTGTCTTATTATTAAATCTTGTTTTTTCATAAGGATGCTGGTATTTGTTCTTTATTTATTTTTTATTTTTTGGGTTCAGAATGGTTATAAATCTAATACAAAATATGCAGTGGATTGTTTCTTATAAAATAAATAAATAAATAAAAGTGGATAGTGGATGGAGTATCTATCCGAACTTTCCTACAGTTTTCAACACAAAATTGTTGTCTTTTGTGCTTTATTTATGGATGAGAGTTGGCTATGCTAACTGGTAGAAAAAGTGTGGCAAAACAGTCCATAGTTTTTCATGGGATCAGTTATCCTATGTATATCAAATTAATTGGTGGACCTAGGATAAGTTATCCTGTCCCTTTGTGCAATAGCAAGCCTGGGATTGGGATTATAATCCCACAAACAATCCATTCGCATGTTTTATCCCATGCATTAAAACCTTGAAAATTTCTGGTCTTAAAGACTAAAGCAATTATATTGAACCTTGTTTCCTTCCTGCATGTTAATTTTATTTTTACTTTTCTTTTTAATTTCTTGTGTAAATGTGGTGCTGTTTTAATGATTAGAAAAATGCTTTATTCAATTCAACTGGGAAGGGTTTGTTAAACACTAGCTTCTTGAGTTTATTCTATTCTATTTTTTTTTTTAAAAAGTCAGGACTTCTCTGTTGTCTATATCTGCTATTTGGCACATATGCCAAAGCATCAATTGTACATGCTTGAATAGTTTGTCCCGTCAAAGGCTGTTTTGTTTTCTGCTTTTGTGGATACCTGGTCCACTTCTGTATCTCTTCTTCTAAATTATAGATACCTTTTGTTTCCTTAAAAAATAAATGGAAAAATGTGTTCATTCTAAGGACTAAATAAATTTTTTGATCAAGTTGCCAGAACTCGTATTTAGGTTACTAAAGGTTTTTATAAGAAATGGTTTAGCTAAATTTTAGTTGGTTGCCAGACATGATATTAGTGACTGGAGCAACACTACAAAATAAAGGAAATGCAAGAGGAGGAACTCTTGGTGCATGCTAATGACTAAATAAAAATTTTGATCAGGTTGCTAGAACTTGTAATCCTTTTTCTGGAAAGTAAATTGAGAGCTACATATTTTTGAGTTTGTTTAGTGTTGATGCCACACTACTGCGTAGCCCATAATTGTTCATGACTTCGAAAGGGGTACATGGAAAACCTTGTCAAAGCAATAATACTAAAATTTTACTCTTTTATGAAGAAGAATTAATATTACAAAAGAGTTTACGTTTGCTTGATGTGAATCTCTAAGGTTTTATCTGTTGCATATTTCAATAATTGTTTCCTGGTATGTTCATGTTTTGATAGACACCATTCTTTTTTTGTTAATCATCTATTTCAGGGTTCTTGTTGGAACTGGGCGCGCATGTTTTGAGACATTAAGGCCACTGGCTTATAGTCTACTGGCAGAGATTGTTCACCATGTTCGGGGAGACCTCACGTTATCACAGGTGTTGCTTTTATGAGATGTTTGAAGGATAATTGTGGGCTTCTGTTTTCATCTCTTAGATGGCATTTATTCTGTTTTCCTATTATTTTATAACTGAGGCATCAATTTCAACCAAATGGTAGTGTTGTTGGGTGTTTATTTTCATTTGATGCCTTCAAATGAATTTTGGACTATTGTCATTATTAATGTCATTGGCGTGTTTGGTTGTTTTGTCCTTGGTTTAATTTTCTTTTTGATGTGATGTGGTCATCATAAATCTCTTTTAAAACATGTGAATTCAGGTTCCTATTATGGTAAACATGGCTCTCTCTCAATTTTGTTCCTCCAAATCCATTCACTGCTCCTTCCACGCACCCCCTCTGTTTTACATTTTNCAAATGTTTTATTTATAGAATTGTCTTCTTTACAAGGCTAACAAACACGTATTATTGTGCTACAACTATCATGGATAATTTACTTGTTATCAAGTAACACGCATGATGCTTCATTATCACTAAGTATTCATACTACTTGTGCTTGACTGATGTTGAATCTGGTGCATGAAAAACTCTATTCCTTATATACTTTGCATGTTAGTATGTTACTATGCTGAGATTGTTATTAGCCTTTCTGTATAAATTTTAAGGTGATAGATTTGGAAATGTCTAGTAACCTGTGAAGTTGGTTTATGTCACAAGTGAGGCTTCTTTTCTGTTTTTCTTCATTTACTAGGAGAAAATAATTTAATTAGGTTCCCTCTTATTAATGTTTGACTAACCGTATGATCAAATATTTATTGTTTCACTTCTGGGAATATTTTGTTTTGTGTTTTTTTCTTTTACTCTACATTATAGTATTTCAAAATCATTACTCTACCCATGTAAAATGGTGTATTTTTTATTATATGTTGTATAGTTCAAATAGGGTTTGGGCTTCATTATTTCCTATTAAGGTTGAGGTATAACTTAGAAACTTACTGTTGTTCTTTCAAATTATTGGATGCAGGAAATTCTAGGTAAAGTTTTACTCCTCATGTAATTAGTGTAGCTGCTAGTGAGGTATGCATTATCTGAGTATCTAAATTTTCTTATGTTGACGTATATATGTGTTCAATATTTTAATTGTATGAACACACATTTTATGTATAGAGTTTGCTCTATCTTCAGAAGTTTTTAATTTTTATTTAAATTGTGTAGCATGATATAAAATATATCTAAGTAGGTCACTCTACTGTCTTTGTAAAACTTTAAAGGTTGTGCACTATACCATAATAATGTATTCTTTGTTATTTAATTGAGTGAAGAAATATTCTTGATGGTGTGCATTTTTGCAAACTGCAGTCTACTTTTATGCAAACTACAATTTGCAAAAAATTTCTTTGCAAAAATTATAATATTATAACATATATTATAATGATATAATTTGGAGATAAGATTTGAAAATACGTAATTTTGATATATCTTTTAAACTTGCATGGTGCCATTTGTTAGAACTAGTGATTGCGAAGTTGAAGATTTAAACATGTTCTTTTCCTCTTTGTTTTGCATTAAATATTTGGGGTGCTTTTGTCTTAATCTTTTTTTGAATTTACAATATATGTGTGTTGTTATCTTGGAGAATATACATGGGAATTGAAGATGTTTTTGTATTAATGGTTTTGTAGGTTGTGAAAATGGAAGAGTACTTTTTTGGTAAAGCACAATTGGGAATGGAAGATGGTATGCATGACGGTTTTTGTTGTTAGAATTTTTTGAATGATTGGAAAGTATTAACTATTGTTCATAGTTAATTTCCAATCAACTAGGTATTACAATGTAAAAGTGATTGGTGCATATTTGTTAGGCATATATAAAGCTTTTTGCATATGAAGGTTTATATGTTACAAAATATGATATGATATATGAAGCATATTAGGTTTATATATGCCTATTTATTAGGCATATAAGCAAACTTTTTGTATATGGAGGTTCACCATCAATGAAATGTTCTTTGAAAAATTAGTGTATCATTGTTTATAATTTGTATTATTAAAATAGCAATTGTAACAGTTTTTATATATGCTATAACAGATACATTGATAGCACTTTCAAAATGTTATGGAAAATAATTTTGTAAAATACAATGAATGATACTTTGGTAGCACTTTTAAGATGTTATTAAAAACTCTTCTGTAGCATTTTTAACAGCGTTAAGAAAAACCAATCTACAACATTGTAAAAATGTTATAAATTTGTTATCTATAACATTTTGAGAATGTTACAAAAAACCAAATTGTAACAGGTTAAGAATGTTATAGAAAACTTATTTATAACATTTATGTAGTGTTACCGAAAATCATTCGTAACTACGAATAAGTGCTACAATATACTTAACAACAACATTTTATGGCAGTTACTAAAATGACTAGTAACATGCAAAAAGTGTTACCAATGTCTACTTTTTAGTAACATGGGCTATCACAAAATCTTTATAAATGTTACCAATTACCTATGGTAACGCTTTTTGCATGTTACCATAGGCCATTTTTCTTGTAGTGTTGGTGAACAGTGTTGATGAACAGTACCGATAAACAGTGACGGTGAACAGTGTCAAAAAATTAAACCTGAAGGAGCTTCCAAATGTTGGTACATAATATAATCCTTAAATGGATTAAGTTTTAATGCATGTAAATGTAATAATCTATGCCCAATACATAATATTGTGTTGGGCAATGTAAAACAATTCACGGTCGTTCACGATATCCAACACGGATCTGTGTTGGTTTTTAAAATCTGATTTAAACACACTCGATGCGTACAATCATTCCACAGATAGGCACGATCATTCCAAAACAGACGGTTTGAAAAAAAATTGTTTGACTCTAATTGCACATTGATCAAAACATCAACAAATAATGTTTTTGACATTCTAATCACTTGGGGAGTTTCCATATATGAAAAAAAGTGTCAAGATTGATATCAACCACAAGATTCTATCATTTTGACTTTTCTTCATTAAAAAAACACTCATTCAACCATTCAAACACACATTTGTCAACAATTTGTCATTCATATGTTAAAAATACAATTTTAATCTTACATATGAACTAGATATGTTCCCTCTCTTCGTGAGAAGAGTTACCACTTAGTGATTCTTATGTCCATCATCTAATGTACCTTATCAGTTCCCTTTGGAGAAGCATGTATAGATTTCTCTATAAAGGTTGTTGCAAAAGCAGATTTTTGAGTA